TATATATATATGTGTGTGTGTGTGTGTGTGTTGCGATATATATATATATTATATTATATATATATATTGTATATATAATTATTATTATGTATGTATATATACTTATATATATATATATATTATATATATATATATATATATATATAATATATATATTATATATATAATATATATATATATAATATATATATATATTATATCTGTGTGTGTATCCTGGAAAAGTGTCCGGCATAACAGTATATGCTAAACAAAGACCGCGAAGCGAGGCGCCCAGACCCCTTCCCTCCCCGGCGGCCGACCTCCTCCCTGGCGCGGGGGGGGGGGGGGGGAAGCGCCGGGGAATTCCTGAAGCGACGGCGCGTGTGACATCCGCGTTGACTGAAGAACTCCTGAAGTAAAAATTCAGATTTGTTGGATTGTATGCGGCTTTAGTATTAGTTTGGTGGAAAATACGAATCGTTGTCATTATTTTTTTTTTTGGCTATTATAATTTGCAGGGAAAAATGGAAAAAAAGAAAGAAAGAAGAAAGAAGAAGAAAGGAAAAAAATATAGAATCTTAAACGACATTGTCTCATGAATGAATTTAATTTGAAAACCCCACCCTAAAGAGAGAAAAAAAAAATGTGGTCTGTACCTCCTGTCCTTAGCGAAGTGGCACACCCTGGCCACCAAAGGGCATTACATTTTAACATTTCCATATCAGTCTCTTGTTTCCTTGATCGGAAGGCGGGAAGGGAGGGAGGGGAGGGGGGGGGCAGCAAGAAGGGAAAGGGGACAGAAGATGGGAAGGGAGGAGGGGGAGGGGAAGGGCGGGATGGGGAGGGGAAGAGGGAAGAGAAGTGGAGAGAGGATGGAAGGGAGAGGAGGAGGGAGGGGAGAGAAGGGAAGTGGGGGTGGGAGGGGGAGGGGGGGAAGAGGGAGGGGGGGAAGTAAGAGGGTAGGGGGGTATGGGGGGAGGAGCTGGAGGAGGAGCGTGTTGCTGAGACCACGTCATAACGAGGGACTTTTCCCTGTTGATAAGCCCTGTTTCGAGATTCCCTCTGACCTCTCTTTCTCACTCTTACTCCAGCCTCTAATCACAGACCCCTATTTCTTTTCTTCCTTTCTGTGTCTTATTTTCCGCATTCTCCCTATCTCTCATTCTTCCACTGTCTCCTTTCCTGTCTTCTCACTCCTCTCTTCTCTTTCTCTATCTGAACCCTAGAACCTTAAATAAATAAATATTCTCTCTCCAATCTGCATAGGGAAAGGAACAGATAAATTTTCCACAACAGTAATAATGCATTTGGATAGAAGCGGGACTACACACATATAAACAATGTATCTCAAATGGTTCTCTCCAAATTAGGAGTAAATTGCCCAAACTGGCTCTTTAATTAGTTAATTGCGTTCGTAAAAACACAAAGAACTTCCTGCATTGTACCTGCCAATTTTTTTTCATGAATAAAAAATCGGGTGAGTAAAAAAAGAAGAAGAAAAAATGTCGTTCAAGATGCTGACATGTTCCCTTGAGTCTCGTGATTGCATATGAAACGTATGAGGCTCTGAGAATGAGTCAATACAGAAAGTGTACGAGAGATAAGTATATTGCATAGACAGATGAAGAGACATATACAGATAGGGAAAAAGAGAGGGAAATTGATTTTTTTTTTTTATAATTATACATACATAAACACACACACACACGCACACACATATACATACACACATTTGTATATATGTGTGTGTATGTACATAGGTGCGATATTTACGTTTCGCTAGATGTATAAGTAAATAATGAAGAAAATCTGGATGAAACAGGAAGTAGAGAAGCAAGGAAGGCTCTACACACTAGCATTCGTTTAAAAAAAATCTTAGCGACACGAACATATATCGTTGCTCTTATTTGTGTGTCAGAATTCTGCAGGCATTCCCATGAACGGGTTCTTACTGATTTCTTAATGTCTCTATAAAATTCCGTTCGGATTATGGAGCAACAGAAACTCAGTCATCCACACTTGACTACTGCAACATTTTTTTCCTCCTTATTTGTATATAATTTATTGTTATTGTATTTCTTCATTCTCTGGCGGTTGGGAGCGCTTCAGCCGAACGCGCAAAACCAAGGGCGTCTACCATGATAATTGCAGGAAAAAGCTTCAAGGAAAAAAACTTGACCAGTCCTCTCTTGCTATGCTAAACATCGCTTGTTTCACACGAACTGGCGCTGGACTCTCTCCCGTTGGGCATCAGCTGATCTCTCACCTGTGGTTGGGCATCAGCTGATCTTTCTGGTTGTGGTTTGCGCATCAGCTAATCTCTCCCCTGTGGTTGCTATCAGCTGATCTCTCACCTATGGTTGGGCATCAGCTGATCCTCCCCCTGTGGTTGGTGTGTTGTGCATCAGCTGATCTCTCTCCTGTTGGGTTGACATTAGCTGATCTCTCTCCTGTGATTGCTCTGATCAGCGCATCAGTCTTATCTCTCTTCCTGTTGTTGCGCATCAGTGATCTCTTCCCCTGTGGTTGCGCGTCAGCTGATCTCTCCCCTGTGGGATTGCACATCAGCTGATCTCTCTCTGTGGTTTCGCATCAGCTGATCTCTCTGTGGTTGCGCCTCAGCTGGATCTCTCCCCTGTGGATGCACATAAGGCTGATCTCTCGCCTGTGGTTTGCGCATCAGCTGATCTCTCTCCTGTGGTTGCGCATCAGTGATCTCTCCTGTGGTTGCGCATCAGTTGATCTCTCTCCTGTGGTTTGCGCTCAGTTGATTATCTCTCCTGTGGTTGCGCATCAGCTGATCTCTGTCCTGTGGTTGCGCATTCAGCTGATCTGTCTTCCTGTGGTTGCGCGATCAGCTGATCTCTCTTCCTGTGGTGCGCATCACTGATATTTCCTGTGGTTGCGCATCAGCTGATCTCTGTCCTGTGGTTGCACGCACATCGGCTGAATCTCTCTATTCTTTGTGGTTGCGCATCAGCTGATCTCTCCGCCTGTGGTTGCGCATCAGCTGATCTCTCCTGTGGTTGCGCATCCTGCTGTGGTTGCGCATCAGCTGATCTCTCCCCTGTGGTGCGCATCAGCTGATCTCTCCTAATGTGGTTGCGCATCAGCTGATCTCCTCCCTGTGGTTGC